GCCCGTCCCAAGTCCTCCGCTGCTCCCGAGTCCTAACCCGGTCACCTGTCCCCGCAGGCTCCGGACTCCCGCTCGCCTTCCACCCGCCTGTCAGGCTCAAGCCTCGCCTCGTGTTCTCGTCCGGGCCCACCCTCGCCTCTGCCCTCCTCCAGACTGTCCCGGCTACGACTCGGGGTCCCCTGCCTACGAGTCGGCGGGGCCCTCCAACCCGGGCTCTCCGCCCGACTCCAGAACTGCAGCCCGACCACGCCCCCGCGCTCCGCCCCCACCCAGGCCACGCCCCCGCGCTCCGCCCCCACATGCTCACCCCGCACACACCCGAACTCCTCCGGACGCGGGGCCCTGCCTGGCACCCCCACCTGCCCCTAGACAGCGGCCACCTACTGCCCTTTCAGGTGTTCTGAGGCTAACCTCACCCCCGAGTCTCCGACCTCGCCCTCACCCGGTCGCTCCCTCCCCCAGCAACTCCGCCACCACCCTCAGTTCCCTTCTCGCCCTACAGCCGTGGGGTCCCAGGGGCTCCGAGGAGAGAACCCCTCCTGCCGCCCCCTCCCCATCAAGGCGGGGAAGCTTCAGTCCCCTCCCAGCAGCGTCTTCAGGAATTCAGGGAGGCCTGCGGGAGGGGAGGGAAGACGAATCAGGGGGGGAGAAGGAAGACCCCTTTATCCCGCCTCTTCCGCCAGAGAAAAGCCCGCCAAGCAGAGCAACCCAGCCTGTCCCGACCACAAATGCAGTTCAAAGGTCAGCGGAAGCACTGCGTTTAATAGAGACGGGCCGGCGCCCTAGAGATTGAAGTCCTGCGGAGGAGTCACCGGCGACTTGCCAAGCCCCAGATGTAGGCTCCTGGAGACGGGAAATTCGACCAGGAGGCTGGCACCTAGCCCGCACGGCCTCCTGGGGGCGCTAACTCGGAGGCGTCTCGGCCTTCCCACGGTGTCCCCCATGGATAGGGCCTGGACAGAATCCTCACCAAATTTACACTACTGCCCTGGCCCCGCCCTCTACAGTGACCCTGGCTCCTCCCCCTTGCATTTAACCCTCTCCTGGCAGGAGTGTGGCAGAAGCAGAGGAGCGAGGCGGTGGGAGGTTAGTGCAGAGGACCGATGCCAGGTACAGCGGATGCGGTCAGCGGGCGGCCCCTGGGGGTGGAGCGGCCGCTACCACCTTGCAGAAACGCACCCTCTGGAAGTCTGTGATCTCCGCTGTCTCCTGGCCCTCGGGGCCCACCTCTGGGGAGAGAAGGGGTTGTCAACAGAGGGAAAGAGACTCCCTGCCTTTCCCTAGTTCCGGGGCCACCCTCCCCCATCTGGCCCTGCCCCTCATCCCAATCCAGCCTGGCTGCAGCCAGGGCACTAAGCGGTTTAGGGGCCAAGGAAGTCTTAATCTTCAGTGGACCCATGAGGCAGCATATACCCTGTCTACAAGAGGGAAATGCTGGCATGAGATCAGGGTGATCCAGATAACACGTGACCAAAGATAGCTCAGCTCAGCCCCATCCCCATCCCTAAGCAACCTCCATCAAGCAAGCCCCAGGGGACCAGCCCTCCATTCCCTTACATCCCCACCATCCAGCATTCTAACCGGTCCCTCCTTGGCTCTGGCCCAAATCCTAATCCAACTCCACTGGGGAGAGGGACACTATCACTGGTTCAAAATGGCTCCCACTAAATGATGGAGAGAAGGGGTTCAGCCTCTTGCTCCCACTCTGCAGGGGCCAAACTCGAATTGGGCCCTATTCTAATTTCCACCACAGGGTTGCACCCCCAAACCCTATAATCCCACTCACAGATAAATCCTATACTCTGTCCCACTGTCGTTTTTACTTCTTGCAAGTAAAATAAGCCCAGAACCACTGAGCTACACCTCCCGCCCCCAACTCTTATTTCAACATTTAGGGCCAAGTTTAAATTCTGAATCCTGCCTTTAGGTCCTCTTCTAGAGAGTCAATCCACCTCATTACTTTTCCACTGCTTTCCTTAAGTCTGGAGTTGACCTCTAACTCCTAAATTCTTGTGAATCCTAATCCCCTGCTGCTGTCTCCCCTGCTGGACCATCCCTGTGGCCCTAAAGCCCTCCTCAACCCCAGCCGTGTTCAGGCTCACCCCAGAGGTGGCATTCTAACCTCACACCCAGGCCCCACTGCTGCCACACAGCTCCACCGCAAGCCCTTCCCTGGCCACCCAGAGGGGAAGGCAGGCCACGCCACCTCCCCCACTGCATGCACACCCCCACCTGGTGTTGCCTCAGACCCCTCCTCTTCAGCTTTCTGGGCTCCGGGGAGACTGTGCCCACTCTCCAGGGAGGCAGAGGCCGGCTGGTCACCTCCTGGAGAAGGGGAGGCCCAGTCAAGCCCCCTCTCCCTCCAAACATCTCCCCACCCGGAGAGAAGAGGCCCAAGGGGAGTTAGAGGGGCCTTAAGGACACACTTAGGGGAATGTCATTTGAGGATGTGAGTTCTTTATTGAGGAGGGGCTCTGGAGGACCTGGGGAAGTCTGGGAGTGGGTACTCTAGAGACAGGGGCATGACAGCACAGAGGGGGCCCGGACTGCCCTCCCCAGCAGCCAGCACCATGGGCACGGGGTCCCCAGGCCCATCACACCCCTGTGCGCACACACAGGCAGACGGCTTCATGCATTCCCAAAAGGCCAGGCCTCACCCGGAGAGAGGGCACCAGCCGGATGGGTGGTCCGGGGAGAATTCTGCTCCATCTCCTCACCCCAATCTGACACAGGCTGGTGGCCACCAGGTGGTGAGAAGGGGGTGGAAGGCGTGGCAGGCGCCTGGGGAAGTGGATCCTCAGCCCTGGAAGGTGCTGCCTCCTCGGCCTGCTCGCTGGGGGCACCACCGGAGGGCTCGGCCTCTTGGGGTTGGTGCTCATGGGCTGGCTCTTCCTCCTGCTCCTCAGTGCCCTCGTCCTCAATTTCCTCCTCCTCGTCCTCCTCCTCCTCCTCGTCCTCAGTCACATCCTCACTCACATCCTCCCATTCTTCATCTTCCTCATCCTCCCCCTCATCCTCAGGAGGCCGGTGGGCAGGAGCAGGTGGCTCCGGAGGCTGAAGGGAACACAGAGGGTCAGGGAAAGGACGTGGCCCCGAGACCCACACCCCCTGCCCTGCCTTACCTGTATGGGTGTCTCCTCCTGGGACGGGGGCTGTGGGGCCTCAGGGGCTGGGGACACTGCCTCCTCTTTTGTCTCCCAGCGGTCATCATGGTCACTAGAAGGAAAGGGGTAAGGCCTCAAGTGGACAAGAGGAAGGGACTTCCAACTGCCCACTCCTCCCCAGAGCAGAGCTGTCCAGAGAGCACTGAGAAAGGAATGGTGGATGTGTGTCCCCAACCATCAGGGAACAGGAGAAATGAAGGGGAACCAGGTGGCAGCAGAGATGAATGCAAAGGAGAGGACAGATGAATGGTGAAGCCAAGATCCAGACCCCAGACGCCAAACCAAGCACCTTAGAGATAGATGAGGCCAAGACACAGCCCCACCCAAGTCCAAGGAAAAAAGGACCCCCCAGAGATGTGTACATGCTGCGGGAAGAGGTGTCCCCACCTGTAGGCTCGGGGCACTGCCTTGGCCTGGGGTCGGCTGCTCTTTCTCCTTCTGCGGCTGCTGACCTCAGCTTTACGCTGTGACAGGAACTCCCCAAAAGTGGGGGGTTTGGGAGGCCGGGCCCAGGTCTGTTCATCTGCAACAGAAACAGAACCTGAAGAAGGCAGGGAAGGCGGGACAGCGCAAACTACTTCCCACCCCAACCCCCAGGACAGCCACTGTCTTGGCCGGTCCAAGAACACCACTCACCATAGCGGTGGGACAGTTCATGGGCAGGGGTTGGGCCATCCTTGAACCTGGGAAAGAGAGCAGGGATGAGCAGAGGGGTGCAGGAATGAGGAAGCAGGGGGAGTGCTGGAGGCCAGGGTCAGAAATCAGATGAGAGGACAGAGGGGCAACCAGAAAGGGTCACTAGGAAGAGGACAGGATCAGATGATGCATGAGGCAACCTGACATCCTACTGATAACCACAGAAAGAAAAAAATTGAGAATTTGGCCCCCCAGATAAAAATACCAATGGGTCTCAACAGACCCCCACAAAATAATGATCGCCAGCTACCTGTCTGAACCTCACTTCCTGTCACACTCTCTCTTTCTCACCTGGCCAACAAAGCAGGTTTTCCAAGCACTCCTGGCTCCTGCCTCAGGCCTTTACACCTGTTGCTCACTCTCTGGACCTCCTTCAGGCCTTAGCTCTAGAGACAGAGATTTTCCTGAACCCCACCTACAGGAACGTATTATTACGTGTTATCTAAAACTAAAATAAAAACTCTCGTTCATGTTCTCCTTCCTCTGCTTCATTATTCTTTATGACCCGAAATCAGATTTACCCCCCTCCCATCTTGCCCACAGG